ATAAAAATTTAATAATAATCAATAATTTCCCCTACACAAATACGTAAAATTAATAAAACTAAAAATAGAAAACATACATATGTATGTGTTCATAGATAATGACTTCGAAGTCTTGTTCAACATCTATTTACTAACACACTATCTTACAAGCATCAAGCCACAAGCACAAAAATAAATACCAGAGAGCATCCACGCAATGATTTTTTGCCCATTTGTTCATTAATCAAATACTTTAAATGGTAAACCAGAAGATAAACTCAATATGAAATCATATCTACAAAAACAACTTAACACCAACAGGCGTCTTTTTAGTTTTAGCACATGACTATAATTTGTACATACATACATATACATTTCTGCTTTCATATTTTTATATTATAATTAAGGAGCGGGTTTTAAAGTTTAGTGTGGAAAATACAGCTCGGAATAGAAAAGCATTAATGAACACTTTGATTGCTAAGCTGAATGTCGGTCATGGCATTAGCTAAAAAATCGCATGATTTGCCATTAATTTAAGAGTTCTATGATTAAGGTTTACTTTGGTTTGATGTGAATTCCAAAATGTTAAGTTTTTTCGTTGACTTCTACCAATGAATAGCACAATTAACTTATTATTTCGTAATATTGTGCAATATCTATAATTTTTCATAGCAATTATTGCGTCAGAATATCTTAAATATCATCACAAACAATTTTTCAAAGCAACAGAAAGTTGCTTAGAAATTAGTAAGTACGTGTGTACACGACATTATACCACAGCTTACTGTCTAACAATAATTTCACCAAAGCACGAAAAACTAAAACACCATTTATTTAATTCGTTTCTAATGCAACGAAACAGTTCGTTTTTCTTCCATTGCAACTAATTAATTGCGCAAGCGATGAGCGCCATGTTTGATTGTATCTAATTGTTATCAAACAACAATATGATTTATTCGACAAATAAAGTCACGATTAATGTTGAAAGCCATTTGTTGCATCATGCTTTGGAGAATATGCACATCATAATATAAACGTTAAAAAATGCAGCAAAGATATTTTAAAAGACATTTTATTTATAAAAAAATTGCTATTGCTATTTTAGAAATAGTTATTTGTTTGCGCAATATGATTGCAGCGCATCACACTTTTATATACTACGAGTATGTAACATGCTGCATTGATTATTTGCAGCCCTAAGTGTACCCTGTCTTGTTTTGAAAGTAAAACTCACAATCTTTGTAGTGACTATGTTTTTATTGTAATCAAATATTTGAAATTAATCTTGTTTTTATTAGATGTATATTCGTGTTTATTCTCAAGTAGCGCTCGTTAATTGTTATAACACATTTTTGTGAAAGGGCTCATTTATGCAAATGAGTTTTTTTCGTTGCTACTGCCTATGTAATTATGAAAGTAAGAGGGCTCCTGTCACTTCATTGCTATGCAAAAGTTAATGATTGCTGGGTTTACTATTTATTTTTTTAGAATTTCTTAAATTTATTTGCATATTTAAAAAATAAATATAGCAATAAGATCAGTAGTTTATAATATTCAGACTGCATACAGCTAACAAGAACCCGAATAAGCCGAGCATGACTTGCAATTTTTTATGCTAATTCGCAATAATCTATTAGATTGTCATTGACACTTTGAGGTTACATCAACTCTTCTAAGTTCGTTAAAGCTTCTTTTCTCAATTTTTAAATATTAAATACTAACTATACGGCATATTCTCAACTAGTTTCTCTAGCATCCTCTTGTTGTTGTTCTCAGATAGTTTTGGGAAATATTGCCGTGTTGACAGTCCTTAGTCGGATAAAAATCTAGGTACGTTGCGGTTACGTTGACCCGATTGTGGTGGGATTGGCCTCTACTTTTCCTCGAGGTGGGCTAGCTTATATGAAAATGAAATTATAGTTAATCTATCTTTAATACATGTATTTAAATATTCCCACTCGGTTCTAGTGAGCTGCTAAAGATTAGTAAACCTTCAATAAATGGCATAAATTCGGTATTATAAATTTGTCAGCATCATCAGTAAACGTTTTTCTAACGGGCAGTGAACTGTCATTCCCCAGCCTTGAGAGGCAGCAAGTATGTACATAGCTACTGCAAAGAGTGTTTAATGCTCGTTGAATTTAATGAAGCACAGCAGAAAAAAGTATAAAATCACAAGCAAATTTATTGACTTCTCTATCTTATTCAAGCCAAAGACAAAAAGCACAAAAATAAAAATATTTTTTTAACTTCCTTATCTTATTAATTGGTATTACCGAGTACAACTTTTAGTGTTAAATGATTCAATCATTGAATATTTATTTAACTACTCAAACTTCTATTTATTTGTCGTAAAACAATTAAGTTATTTTTAATTTCTTTTAATTATTTAATTTTTACGATAATTTAATCTTTTTTAAATATTTAAACATTTTTTAGTTTAATTTTTATCAAAAGCCCACACTTATATATTTAAATATTTTTATTATTTAACTATTTTTTTATTATTTAAAATTTGTTCAATTCAAGATTTTTTCTTAAACACAAAACATTTGTGTAACTTCCTGCTTCCCAGCTCAAGATATTCATTAAAAATATTTCGATTACGGTTTTTTATGTTCCAGTATTAAAAAAGATTAGAATATTATGAGGTTTTATCAACTTTAGTACTTCTTCTCCATATATACTGTCATCGCTTCTTCAAAACAAAACATTTTTATGGGCTTATTTTATGACAAGCAATCATGGTCAACCGGACGTTTACCTAAGCACGGCAAGTTTTATAAATCACACAATTTAAGCTACGCACATGGCTATGCTATTTATGTGCATATAAAAATAATTACACTTTATTAACTGTAACAATAAAAATATTAACGAATTACACGGAAATTTGTGCCGTTTACTATTTAAATACTGAAAAAATTTGAGCAACAATTAATTTTAGTTAGACAGGTGGCTAATAGCAATCAAATCATATATGTACATATGTATGAGCTGCACATATGTAAGTAGTTTTTTATGCATGCTCTCCCTAGAATATGTTTGTATATTCAAATTTAACTTTCAAACATTTACGCCCGACTAATTACAATTTGCACAGCCAATTGTTTATATGTATTTGCTTGCGCTGATAGTAATAAAAATGTTCTATATGAAACTTTAAAAACAAAATAGCCATACTAAGTAAGTAATTAAAATCATAAGTATATGTTGCTAATTCACACTTCATAGATAGTTAAACATTTTTTATTGCACAACTTTTTGCCAGCATCACAAATTTCTTGCATACCAACATGCAACATACAAACAAATGCATGTTAGTACACGTCCAGCAATCAGTTTTTATTTGTTCTCACTGATTTTGTTATTGCAAGCGTACACAATTCACTTAAGCGATTTGTCATGTAAAAAATGTGGAAAATATTGACAGTTATTATGTTTGCCGAGCAAACGATCTACTCATAAACGAGTTAGAGGCGTAATGACTATTGTTTCTATGATTGTATGTACTGTACAAATAAGTCGGTAAATTAAACTGGCAAATTTGTGGACGTTATAAAAAATATTTTATGAAAAAAACTACAA